GAGCTCTCCCGATCTGCTGCCACCAATCGTCACGCATGGAGAGGTACCGTCCCTGACATCATCGAGGCCGGCTAGATCAGGCATGATTATAGCCGTAACAAGTACAAGTACAACCGACAAAGCAACGAGCCCGTGGTGCAGCGGTAGAGTGGTACACTCAATGACCAAAGGTCCCGGGTTCGAATCTCGGATGATCCACACCTGGGATTGGGTATGACAAGCTGATGACGGCTGATAAGCCAGAAATGGCCATTCCGGTCTCTCTTGTCTTGGTCGGTTGGTCAAAATACTCTACAAGTCGCGTTGCAGCTGCCTGCACGGAATCTACAGTGAGCTCCAGGACAAAACAGAAAATGTTTGTTCCTTTACTAGATCCATAACAAAGATTGTCAGAATAGTTATAAATGGGTGTTTTTGTAGAGTTTAACGATCCATTTGACCCACTTATTAAAAAATTGTGGTCTCAGTGGAATTCGAACCCACGACAGCCTTCCCTTGCTTTTTGGAGTTCGAAGCCCACCGAGGCAGCCGAGTGTTCCACAACTGGGTCAAATGAAAAAGAGTTTAGGCAGATAGTATTGCCGACAAAGACGAGAGAGACCCAAGGCAGGGCGGGACGAGCGAGTTCCGTTGGCGATCGGTGAGCGTTCATCAACCAGTGAAAAATGTTTACTGCAGAAAAAATCAGGAGTATGAGTTAGGGAGGGAGATTGGTCAGAAGATAGGCATAAAATTGGAAACTGACCAACGGTTGACGGCGACGGATCAGTCAAATATTCCTGCTGGTAGCGGTACTCCAATTTCCCATTCATCTTTCTCACTATGATAACAACGAGGTGAACTCCATCAGCCAGCCGAATGCCTGCTTTAAAGTGTCTCGCGAGGGCCACCAGCAAACGAACGATGGCAATTACGTCCTTATTGTGGATGAGTTCAGCCGTCCACCGTTCAGAGGCCCACTCCTCTGAGACGCCCAGTAACTGGTTGATTGTCACTACCACATCCTACAAGACAAAGCGACAGGATCGACGCAAGTCAAGCCAACATACCTTGAGCTTTTGCATCTGGCCAAATTCTGACTGTGTGACTTCAGGATAGTCTAACCGGATGCCAGCCAGCTTTTCAGCTAGGTTCTGCAGAATCTGTCCATCATAAAAGTCGTCTGCCACATTTCTGACAAGAATCCTGTGATCAACCAGTTCATCGTTGATCCAAGAAATTAGAGCGCCTATTAGTTCCTTGACGGGGGCTGATTCCAGTGAGGTCTTTTCAATGATGGAACGCTCCTGTCCTTCCTCCAGCATATAGTTTTCTGGATCCTCAACGGCAAGGGAACAGAGGGCTGACTCCATTGCCTTGCGTCCCTCTCTAGCCAGCTCCTCCACCTCCTTTTTGGACTTTTTCTTTTTGCGGAAAGTTTCCAATTTTGTAAGGAAAGAGTCATTGGCAGAACTTGGCGAATTCATGAGGAAGGACAGAAACTAACCTGAGAAAGAAAAGAACCAGCTGGTCAGTAAAGTAGGATTTGGGA